CCCTGAACCCTAAACCCCCAAACCCGTACACCCTAATCCCTAAACCCAAACCCTAAGGCCTAAACCTTAAGCCAAGAACTTCATTATGGTCTTTTTGGTCCGCTGCTTGCCTCTTGTTGCTTCAAGGAACCGGTGTTGACCATGTGCCACGCGGCAGAAAACTGGCAAGTTCGGTTCTCTGAGGGAGGGACCACGATTTAGGATTGAGGGTTTAGGGGTTTAAGTGTTTTTGGGTTTTGGAGGCATATATTGTCTGACCGAGGATTTTGGAAAAGACAAGTCCCTAAACCCTAAACCCTAAACCGGTAGGTTCACAAGTTCTCAACGCCATGCCGCACACCAGGCAACTTGTACAACTGCCCTTCTGGCTATGTGCTCAGCGCCGTTGCTATGGAGACTCTCGGTGCATCCGTCGTGCCTTCTCCGCAGTAGACAGAGGGTGTTGGCTTAGGGTTTCGGGCTTTAGGGTTTAGGGTTTAGGGTTCGGGTCTTTCGCCAGTCGTCATGAGGAAACTTGCTGCGAAGCCATGGGCCCTGGCACCTGGGCTTGCATCAGCCGGTAGGCCCTGCACACGATGTTCGAAGATCAGAAGCGTCCAGTGCAATGCTGGCGGTACGGGCGAGCAATCCGAGGCGAGCAAGCTTTGGTGGTGCGCAGCGCCGGTTTTTCGGACGGGAACCAGGCTGAGTTCTGGCTGATGCCTGGTGGCAAAGGCTGTTTAGGGTTTAGGGTTTAGGGTTCAGGGTTTAGGGTTTAGGGCTGCTGGGCGCATGGACAGTTTGACTGGCACATGCCTTGGATAGGCTTCTCTCTGGCGCTCAGGAATGGTCAACGGCTGTATGAGACTCGTAAGCGTGGGCTTACGGTCGTAGACCTGTGGCCTAACATGACAGTGGCTTTGATGCAAGTCTGACTGAGTCTCAGTCGGGTTTGAGACTTGGTTGCCTGTCTAGTGGCTGTCCTCCGAGGTGAAGCACATCGAGACCTTCGATACCCATGCAGATTCTTGTCCACAGTACGGCGTGTAGCTGTTCAGTTCTGAAGACTGCAGTGCAGCTCCACTGAAAGGATTCTTTGCCCATGGCTGCATACTTGAACTCAACGGCCAAAGGCAACGTGCTGCCAAGCTGCAAACAGACGTCAGGTTGTGCTTCTTAGTGACCTTTGTAGTAGCCCCCACAGTAAACGTAGCTCTGCGCCCTTGCCGCTTGACGCCTGGTTTGCAGCATTTACAGCTGCAGCAGCGGGTTGCCATAGGTTTCTCATAGGGGCTACAAGACGGGCTACAGGGTTTAGGGTTTGGGGTTCAGGGTTTAGGATTACTTTACAGGTTTCTATGAGAGTTACTAGAGTGCACTGCCATGTGGGTGGTTGTCAAAATTATGGTCCCTTTTTGGGTCCTTATTATAATACGGCACCTTTTACTTAGGGTACCCCAAGAGGGACCATAATTTTGACGACTGCCCATGTAGCGCGAGGATCCTGGTCGGAGCATCGGACGATGCTTCCGCAGGCATGACTTGGGAGGCACGAGATGAAAGCCTTTCAGACTTCCGCAGGAAAGTGAACTAGAGTATAGTGTGGTAAAGTATAGTACGGTATATATCGTAATGTACCATAACATACTATACTCTGCCTTAACCTACCAGAACCTACTTTTTTGTAGGGTCCCTACAAATTCCATACTACAGTAGGTAGGGTTTATAATAGGAACCTACATAAAAGTAGGGTTTGGTAGTTTAAGGTAGTTATAACTACCTGAACCTCTTCTTTGGCCCTGTGGCCCCAACGAATCAGCGTAACCTCGGATCCCCCTGGAGGCAGCGAACCAACTTCGCGCCTGCGGTGCCACGTTTCCCCGGCCGATTTGCTTCCGGCCGCTGCGCTGCAGAGCGAGGGTTTAGGGTTTAGGGTTTAGGGTTTAGGGCCAACGCCCTACACCGCACCTCAACCCAAAACCCGCATTGCTGTACAAAGGTGCTCCTACACTCTCATTGGCGTCAAAGGTGGAAGCAAACTCGCTGAGGCTGCCGCTCTTAGTGCTGAGAACTCCATGCATCATGGTGTTTCAGTTGACATCATTGAGTCGGTTTAGGGTCTATAGGGCACAGTGTGCCAGAAGGATTGTTTCTTCGATTGCTACAGTTGCTTTGCAGAATAGACTTGCCACCCTCGGCCCGAGACCCCCAATGCCGCAAGCCAGGTTGGGACGAGCCCAGGAACGGGGAAAGCTGTGTCTGTCAGCGTGCTCACGCCGGAGCCCGGCCCTCATTGTGGCCTAAACCCTCCACCCGAAACTCCGCTTTGCTGGGAGCTAGGATTAGGGGGACCCTTGGGGATATAGACCCTCTCAATAAGGTCCCTTTTAAGAGAGCCAAAAGTAGGGTTCAGAAGGGGTGCCCTTTAAGGGGTACCCCTAATAATACTACCTATTTGCTCTGAGGTTACTCCGGTTCCTGCCTGTGGATGGAGGTGTTAACCGTGCCTGCCGGGGACAGTCGGCCGGCGACAACAGCGGCGACCACTACGTTGCACTTCGGCAGAGTTTGGGCCAAGGATTGTCGTTGCGGTTAGGATCATAAGGGCTACCAACAGATTCAGGGGTTACTAGAACCCTAATCCTTAAACCCTAAACCCTAAACCCTAAACCCTAGACCCTAAATCCCAGTTACTATAAGGCTTCTAGAGGCTAGAGAGGTCTTGAGATGCTTTGAGGTTTAGGACATTGGCTGTCGACCTCTGTGGCTCTTCCGCTTGAGGTGGTCCCTAAACCCTAAACCCTAAACCCTAAACCCTAAACCCTAAAGGTGGTCGATGGCATCGAGACGCTTCAGGCCTGCAAGCTGGAGTGCATCCGAAGAGAGGCGAGCTACCCAAGGGTAGGGTGTTAGGGTTTAGGGTTTAGGGTATAGGGTTTAGGGTATAGGGTTTAGGGTATAGGATATAGGATTTAGGGTATGGGGTTATGGGTATAGGGTCTAGGGTTTAGCCTGGCAGTCAGCCGGAATGCTTCAACATCTGTGCAGGCATGTGTTGGTATCGAGCACCGCGGAAGCCGTTGTGAAGTCTGGACACGGCCAGGAGGAGTCCAGGCCTCTGTTTACCTGGCAGCTCGGCTTTTGGTGCAGGGGATGTAGGCTTCCTGGTTTAGGGTTTAGGGTTTAGGGTTTGGGTTGCTGAGCTGATTAGTCTCAGACCCTAAACCCTAAAGCTTCGCAAGTGACTATAAGCGGTTGTAGAACGGTTACGACAAGGCTCCCACAAACACACACCTGCTGTGCCCAGTACGACTACACGTGCCTGAGCTACACTCCACCTCTCGCAACAACGGCCACGACAACGATGGCCTCCACCGCAACGACCAGTACAAGGAGCATCAAGCTGTGACAAGAAATCAGGGGTTTAGGGTTTGGTGGTCAGTGTCCCTTTTTGGGCTTTGCAGTCCAGAACAGGTTTGGTTTGGAATTCCGCAAGATCTGTGTTCAGAGAGTACCCCGTGCAATCGCTACACAAGAGAGGGTTGCTTTCTATGCTTGACCTTTTCCTCCTACCTTGTTCTTCAAAGAAGCGATGCACTGATGTTTACGACGGGTGAGATGTCTTGCCTTCGCAACAAGCTCTGAGTGTGTGGCAGGGCCATCGCGACACGTTTTGCGGCTGTGGACGGTGGAGTCAATCGAGCATGCCGTGGGGCATCATCTTCCGACAATGCTCCGGCCCACTACACAGTCATCCCAGGTCGTGGTGGTCAAAGCTTCGTAGAAACTGGCCTTAAAGGAACCCAGAAAAGATCCGCAAAGGAACCCACCTTAACGTAACGTTGCAGGACCCCCCTTGAACAGCCGTTCTTGTGGTAGTCGCGCAGGCATCCAGGCTCTTGGCGATTGCCAAACCGAGTGCATTCAGGCCGCCGCACTTCTGGTTTACGGCGTAGGGTTCGGGCGGGCTTCGGATTAAACCCGAAACCCTAAACTCTGAACCTTAAATCATAGGGTTCTTATGGGGAGGGGTGGCATACCCCCCCCCCC